AAGCCGCAAGGATAGTGCTCTAACCAGCCGCTTTCTTCCTCCACCCCAACAGGCACGTCAGATCTGAGCCCTTTCTCTGACCCCCGGCAGTTCGATCGCTCCTTCCCGACGCTGCCGGCTCTCACCGAGACCAGGTTCTCCGACCCGCGGATGCATTACCCCGGCGCCATGTCCGCTGCCTTCCCTTACACCGCGACGCCCTCCGCCACCGGCATCGGGGGCATCAGCATGACCAGCATGCCCACCACAACCCGTTTCCACCACACTTACCTGCCGCCCCCCTACCCCGGCTCCACGCAAAACCAAAGTGGACCCTTCCAGGCCAACCCCTCTCCCTACCATTTGTACTACGGCACATCTTCGGGCTCCTACCAGTTCTCCATGGTGGCGGGCGGCGAGCGCTCCCCCACCCGGATGCTCTCTTCTTGTACAAGTGCCTCAGCGGGGAACAACTTAATGAATCCCAACCTGGGCAATCAGAACGACGGGGTGGATGCGGACGGGAGCCACAGTAACTCGCCAACGACCATGACGACTACTGGGAGGATGGATGAGTCGGTCTGGAGACCCTACTAGGAGGAACTCAACTGGGCACCGATAGCTTTAACTTAATCAGCCACCGTTACGTTACTCCTTTTGGTAGTGAATAGAGCAAAATGATGCCTAGGGAAAAGGTAAACCAAAGTCTCCCAAACCAAAAGCAAACCAGGATCCTCTGCATGCAAGCACGGGCAAACATCAAGCGAAGATGGACCAGGACCTGCGTTACATTTCAAGACGAACGTCCACGAGGCTTGAATTTGTCGCTTGATGTGGTTCCTTTCGTATGTTTTAAGTATGTGGATTGTACATAGGGGAAAAAAAAAGGACATGTGGAATCAAATGTTTGTTTCTTGCAGAACACTTCTCAGTCATCTCACCCGCACCCTCTTCCCCACACAAAGCATTCAAAAGTTACAAAAAGCTCACCCTTCTTCTGCAAAATGTTTCAGAGAAGAGAAGAGACCAGGGAGTCGTCCAAGCCATCTCTCTGCCAGTGCAGGAAGACTGAACTGAAAAAAAAAAGGAAAAAAAAAAAGAAAAAACCCCCGTTGTCTTCTCTCCTTCCCTCCCCACCAGTGTAGGGCCCCTGACCACCAAAGAGCTCCGGGACGACGCCAGAGCCGCACGCGGCACGTGAGAGTCTGGTTTACAGCACAACCGCGGGGACTCAGGCACGCGTGGGGGCTGCGCGCTCCTCGTGGGTTGGCCGGCATCAGCCATGTGAACAAGAGCTGTGATGTGATTATTATTATTTGTTGTGGACGACAGAGGTTGTATTGTTCATTTTTATCATTGTCGTCATTTTTAAAACAGTAACGTGGTTGATCCCGTGCCTGACAGACCCCCCCTTTCCTGTATGTTTACATATGAGATGTACTTTTTACGAGACGTGTTTTGTTTTGTTTTGTTTGCTCTTTTGTCCTGACCTCACCATTCAATTCTTTGCTCCTCTTAGCAAATCTCAGTGATGGTGGCTGAAGCGAAGGCGGCATTCAGGACAATCCAAGATACATGAGATGCACTTCCAAGCGCGTTAGCTGCAAAAGGGACTCGGGAGCCTTTGGCATGACCCTGCCACCGGTCTCCGGGTCTTCCTTTCATCCTCTCTGAGTGGCGACACATGCAGCTGGTGGCAAAGCATCATATTTCTGTTATGATTCTTTCCCATGCTTTCACCCAGAGCGGATTGACACATGCTGACTTTTTTTATTAAGAAACGACTTACACTTGTCAGTTCATACTGAAAGCTCTAACTGAGATTTGGAGAAAGGAGCAATTTCTACCCAGTCCTTTGGTGGTGGGAATATTGCGAAGCAATGTTATCGAGCATTTTCCATCCCCTCACCCTCCTTTCCTTTCCCCCAAGTGACCCAGAGCACGGGTATCTTGCTGTAGATGAATAAGCTGAAGAAGGGGCACTAAAGGTACCACCGGCCCGTTGGTAGCTGGTTGCATCATGTGGCGTTTGGAGGAACCAGGTCTCCCGGGCACCACACACGCTTGTAGCTGATACCAAAGGGTTTGCAACCCGAACGGGACCGCGGCGGGAGGTCGTAGGCAGCCGGAGAGGTGGCAGGAGCTCCCCCAAGGCCAGGTTAGTGGCCTGGCTCTGACGCACGCCGCAGGGTTATGTCACCTCCCGCAAGCCAGCTGTGCTTTCTGCTGGTGTGGGAATTCGGGCTGGATTCGGGATTCCTCGTGCCGGCAGGGCTGAGGGTGCGTGGGCAGGTTCCCGGGGAGCACGTCACTGCGGTACCCACTCCAGAGCCTACCCTGTGGCAAGGGGACGGGGACAGCCCCCAGTGCTACCAGTAACCAAGCCTTTTTTTTTTCTTTCATAAGCATAAGAAAATTGAAACCCCACAGCTGCCCTCCCAGCCCCTCTGTCTAAGTTACACCATTACAGCCGCGCCGCCTATCACCAAATCTCAGTTGGCAGCTTGTCAGCACTCGGTTGAGGTACAGAGCGTTGTAATTGCACTACCACGTCAAGACTGGAGCAAGACATCCTGGCTTCATTGGAAAGCTGCGATGACCACTCATGAGTTAAATAAGCAACAAGAAGAACAACTCTTTTAAATAATAATAAAAAAAAGCCTTACCCCAGCAAAACTGCAACCTTCACTTGCCTTAGCGACAGCGAGCACCTCTCCGGTGCTTGCCAGCTGTAGAAACTGGACCACGGCAGCCTGTGTTTTGATGCATTTATGTTTATCATCCGATCGCGCCACTGATTGAAAGCACAAAGAAAACAAGGCATTCGTAGTACTAGGTTAATTTAAGACTGTTCGTAGTGAATTTAAAAAATAATAAAAAGAATGGCAACTATGTTATTTTTATGACATATTGTCATGTGAAGGTGTAAATATATGCACCTCTATTGTATGCAAATGGTCACAAGACAGGCCAATGTTTTTTGCTTTGCACTATAATTTGCTTTTTTAAAAGAATGCACAATCGCTTGTACAGTAAAACCCCTTTGTCTGGCTCACAGAATATTTAACTATAAAATCTAATTTTTGGTCTTATTTGTTATAATAATATAATTCTTAAATGTGTTGAAGGATCCAATTCTTAATAATGCTTCTAATACTTGTATGTGCAGGGTAAAATAACAACAAACAACTAAGGAGATGAGAACAAAGATCTTTGTAGATAAAGAAGGCTAAAGTTGTTGGTTTTTTTAATGGTGTCTTATGATGGACATTAAAAAAAAAAAGCTAGTGATACCAAATAATGTGGTTATTTGTGTAATATACCAGCCCTACTTGAAGGTAATGCCCTATATTTAATATGTAGCCCATCTTTTTAACCTGTAGCACTTGTCACTGGGGAGGGGGGAGGCGGGGAGGGAGGGAGAGGAAGAGGAGGGTCTGCTCCTGTTGAAGTCATTGGAGGAAGCTCTCGCTGGAGGCGTCTCTGCTGCGCTGGCTTCAATGAGAGCAGAGTCGGACTCCGTCGTGAGCGGGTGGAAATCACGTTGGTACAAAGCCATAGCAAAGTGGTCAGTTCTGCTTTTCTATTATCGGTGTCGATGTTCTTATCCAATGTACGTGATTATATCGTCAGGCCTCCGTGTAATCATTTTAATGACTTTCCATGTGGAATAATAAACGTACGGTTACAAGTCTCCCCGGTGCCTTCCGCCTGCTCACTTCTCGCCGAGGGGAGCAGATCTGTGCCCCGGTACAGAGGAAGGTTCGTCACGCTGCTCTTTCTCCAAATTTTGGCACCTCTCCGAGCATCCCGGTGCCCGGATCCGGTGTCTGGGGGGGGCTCGTGGCTGCGCTCGACCACAGTTTGGCCCGAGCAGGCATTGCAGGGGTGACCAGCGGGGAGGGCAGGCAGGTGCCTTCACAGGGATGCAGGGAGCCGATGGGGGCGGGGGGGACCCGGGCTGTGAGCG